TGTACTGCGCCCGGAAACTGATCGGCAGCCAGTGGAGGGATTTCAGCATGGGTGTTATGTGCTTCCTCCTTGATGTTCTGGCAATTAGCCTGGCTGCCATATTTTGTACCAATTGTAGTTTCCGTGTTAGGCACAAGGGTAGCCCCATGTAGAGCGCATTACAGTAATCCAGGCGAGAGGTTACCAGGGCGTGTACTACAGCTTCCAGGTCCCTCATATCCAGTTAAGGGTGCAGCTGGCGTATCAGCCGAAGCTGATAACAGGCACTCCTGACCGTCGCATTCACCTGACTAGTCATGTGAAGCGACAAGTCTAGAAGTACCCCCAGACTGCGAACACAGTCCTTAGAGGAGAGTGTGACTCCATCCAGGACTGGAGACTGTATTCCCAGATCTGGTTTTGGGCCTGTGACTGTGAGTACCTCCGTTTAGTCCGGATTCAACTCTGTTTTTCCTCATCCAATCCATTACCGCTCTTAGACAGTCATTAAGAGTTGAGACGTCATCTGAAGTCTGAGACTTCAGATGACGTCTCTCCTCATGATCTGTTCATGGAGAGATATATCTGGGTGTCGTCAGCGTACTGAAGACACCATGCTCCATGCCTCCAGATGATCTCACCCAGCGGCTTCATATAAATATTAAATAGCATCGGGGACAGGATGGCACCCTGAGGGACGCCACAAATTCTTCATGGTCATGCATATGCATGCCCATATATGTGCATAGTCAAGATTCACACACATCAATGTGTGCATACACACACATACATATTTCAATACACCAGGAAAGTAGCAGGATAGGGAAGTCTGCTCTAGAGACACTATGTGAATGCAGCTGAACCCTGAAGAAATTAGACAGAGTGAGGCAACTGATAAAAACTGAAAAACTGCCTCAAGTGACAGAAGCTTGTTGTGGCCTTTGGGTTCGATTGCCAGGTGTTCCCCTCTGTCAAAATGCAGAGGATGCCTTCCTGCATGGTGGGCAACCAAATGATCAAGGAGCTACAACAACTCCCCAGTAGTCACAGTGTGTAGAGTTGTTGAGCTTAGAAAGCAAGGCAGGCAAGGGAAGGCCCCTTAGAAGTGTATTAATTTGAGCATGGTGTGGTGATAGTAGAGAGGACTAAATTTTACACCCTCTCACATGATCCTAAAATACAGGATCACCCACTGAAACTAAATGGCAGACAATTCAGGATGGATGGGAGAAAGTGCCTACTTAAATACACTGTCACAACCTTTAGTAATGGCTGCCTTCTTGGACAGATTTAAAAGGGACTTAGGGAAAGACTGTTTATCACTTCCTATATCAGAGGGTGGAGTATGCCAGAAATGTGCTTTTAACCAGTTTGAACTATGTTTTAAAAATAATATTGTTATTTAGTTCTTTTTTAATTTTCATAAAATAAAATTTAATTTTTTAAAAAAAAAAGTACTGTAAGCCACCTTGCATAGAGAGTTAGCGTGGTGTAGTGGTTTCAGTGTTGGACTATGACTTTGTAGACTAGGGTTTGATTCCCAGCTTGGCCATGAAACCCACTGGGTGACCTTGGGCAAGTCACATGCTCTCAGCCTCAGAGGAAAGCAATGGCAAACCTCCTCTGAACATGTGAAGTCGTAGGCTTTCATGGCTGGCATCCATAGTTTTTTTGTGGGTTTTTCGGGCTGTGCGGCTATGTTCTAGAAGAGTTCCTTTCTGAAGTTTCGCCAGCATCTGTGGCTGGCATCTTCAGAGAATACTGGAATGGAAGAGAGTGGGTCTATATATACTGTGAGACCCTGGGTAGGGAAGAGTGATTTCCATGTAAACTGTGTATTGTTCTGCTGTTGAATGGGTATCGTTCTGTTGTTGATGGCATGGGTTCAGGGCGGGAGGATATGAAAACAAGGATATTGCCTGCTATTCCCATGTAAACTGTGTATTGTTCTGTGTTGAATAGGTATTGTTCTGTTGTTAATGGCATGGCTCCAGGGTGGGAGGATATGCAGTCAAAGATATTGTCTGCTATTGTCTGCTGGGAAAGCCCCTGACCCTGGGTGGTTTCCCATTCGCATTTGCTGAGTGCTGATTTTCTTATTTTGTAGGACTGGTAGCCAAACCTTGTTTACATTAAGGGTTTCTTCTTTCCTGTTGAAGTTATCCAAGCATTTGTGGATTTTGATGGCTTCCCTGTGCATTCTGACCTGATAGTTGTTGGCATGGTTCAGAATTTCAGTGTTTTCAAACAGCATTTTATGCTACTGCTGATTTTTCTGGCTGGCCCAGTCTGCAGTTTCTCTGAAGAAGCCAGCTACAGATGCTGGCAAAACGTCAGAAAGGATCTCTTCTAGAACATGGCCACACAGCCCGAAAAACCCACAAAAAACTCCTCTGAACAAATTTTGCCA